ATAGAGGAGAGTAATGTGAAGGCTTTGTTGGTCACGGTCGGGTGGTGAAAAGTTTAGGTTGGTGGGGGGGGGGGGGGGGGGGGGGGAGTTTGGGGGGCTGAATAGATTTTTTCTAGCAAATAAAAATTTATCACACCTCATCAAAATAACTCTAAGTAAATAAATCAATGAAAATCTAACTTCGAGTGCATAACAGAATAAATGTACGTAAAGTGCTATATTACAAAATGAAGTATTAGATTAGTAATTACTCCATGTAAAGATATAATACGATAGAAATGTATATATGTTGTGTGTGAGAGCAGATATCATGCATGCAAAGCAAAGTATATGTGATAGCAATAAGCAAAGTATATGTGATAGCAATAAACAAATGAGAGAGAATTTTTATAGTCGTTCGAAGGTGGTGTAATCCTTTACTCTTAACTCCGGGAGGAATTCACTATTTTCAATTACCCAGATACAATAATGAATTAACCAAGTTCTAGTTCACGAACTCAACACTTGTATAGCACTAGTGCTTCTCACAAAGCCTGCACTATTAAGGGTTTTCAATAGCTTCTCTTGTTACTCTTCTCCCTATCCCACAAGTAAAGATTTTTTTGTAGGGAAATACAATTTTTCTTTTCTCTCCAACTCTTAAAGAATTGTCTCTTTTTTAGATATTTCTATCAAGTATATAAAACTTGATGATTTTTTTATTTTTTATTTTTTTGCTTTGTTGCTGGGTGCTCTCAAAATGGCTCTTAAAAACTTGTTCTTGATCTTCAGTGTTAATGCCTTTTATGGATTATCAAATGTATCCGTTGGAGCGGGATAATTTGATTTTTGAAATCTTGGAACTTATAGCATGATCTGATAAGTTGACAATTTGTTTATTTCTTTTGACTCGAGTTGCAACTTGATTCTGACATATTTGATTTTCTCCTTGCAACTTGGTCTGTATCTTCAGGCTCTGTTGACTTTGTAGTTCTTTTCACATTTGGCATGTACTCTTTTTGTAATTTTCATAGAAATAATTTTTAGAGTTGTAGCATACGACTTTTCACGTATGCTTCTTCGCATTTCTTCAGGTTGTGTATTGATCTTATTGATTTTGATTGACTTTAGTTGATCCTTGTTATTTCAATTCTTGATCTTCTAGTTGTTGTTGAGCCCTTGTGTAGATTGATCCGATTTATACTCAAAGTTAAGTGTGATCTTTACTTTGATTTATCTAAATCCATTCGGCCTCAATTGTTTTGAACGAGAGAGTGGATGACTTGCTTCCAACTTTTGTTACCAAACATGCTACTATTTCTTAGCTTGCCAATCCTTGCTATAATTCTAGCTATGTGTTATTTTTCATGCCTTAAGGTTTTGCTTCCATGCTTGCTACTAGCCGTGATTGTCCTCCAAGGAATTCTACAAACTTTGCTACTTTTAGTATCCATGGTACTTTCGCTTCTATTAGGGAAAATTGTAAAAAATGCCCCTCTATAATATGTCAATTATCAATGCCAATTATCAATGTCACCCCTGAATTATGAGTGGTGTAAATGTTGCCCCTCAATTATCAAAATGGTGCACATATAGCCCCCCCGTAACGGACATGTGGTTCCCCACCGCTGTCCATCGCTGGTATTTTCAATCAAGGGAGGGAAAAAACAACTAAATTACATATTTACTCCGACTTAACGGTGCCGTACACTAACGAGGAACCACATCTCCGTTACGGGAGGGGCTATATGTGCACCGTTTTGATAATTGAGGGGCAACATTTACACAACTCATAATTCAGGGGTGACATTGATAATTGGCATATTATAGAGTGGCATTTTTTTCAATTTTCCGCTTCTATTATGTATGCTACTTCTAGTTGCAATGCTAGTTTTAACATCCATATCCCTTCCACTTCTAGTATGTATGCTACTTCTAGTAGCAATGCTAGTTTTATCATTCATGCTACTTAATAAAATGTCTCCAAGAGAATTCGAACCATGTATTTTTTATATCACCTTCCTTGCTAATAACTTTTCTACTCGGTGAGTTTGGTAAGGTTGAGTTTCGAACCATACATCTCTTAAGACTTCTCATTTTAGCATCTCTTCTAAGAAACTTGCTACTTAATCGTGTCGCTCCCAAATACACCGCCACGATCGTGCAGAGCTTCGTGCAACTTGCTGAAGTTTCTCCACAAAATCTATCACGATCGTGCAGCCTCCAAAAATTGCTTGTTGCTGCAAGACTCTTTCAAAATAGCCTCAAATCGTGCCCATATGCTTCCACTTTGGTTCAAAATCTTTTGAAATGCTAAAGTACATTTATCATTAGACCTTGCAACACAATAAAATCATTTTTAAGCTTTTCTTTTTCAAATCAAACACAAAGGACTTCAATTAAACATAAAACAACTCTAAAATGACCTTCATAAAGATGTATCTTTGGCACTTATTAAAAGTTTCCACACTTTAACTTTGTTTGTCTCCAAGCATGTTAAACAAACAACCAAAGCCAAAAGTGCCAAAGATAGCTCTAAGAAGCTCATGAATCCTACTTGTTAGGAATAAAATTGTAATAGTTTTGATGAACCAATATTGCTGTAGGATTTAATCTTCAATAAATTCGAACCGTTAACCAAATAGAGTACGAGTCTAAGATTATTTCTACAACAATATTGGCTCATCAAAACTATTACAATTTTATTCCTAACAATTTTTTGTTTTTGATGATGCCAAACCTATACTCAATCATGTTTGATTTAGTCTAAAAATAAATGATGTTTTGTTCTTTTAATAATTTTATTTGACGAGCCAAATAGATGGTCTTACAAAGATATAAGATCTACGGCTTTTTATTTTAGACTAAATAGTTTTGTGCAAGTTTTGGATTTAATTAATTTTATTGACATATTTTCTATACTTGCAAAAATTAGGTCTTTGAATAATAAGTTAAGATATACAGATAATAACATCATTAATACATAGATAATATATATATTTTGAGTATCATGTTACAAATATATTAATATAGAAAACAAAGCTTTATCATACTAAGTATTCCCATAGTCCATAGTGCAAGGCTCCAAAGATTCAAAATACCATGTGCTGCCAGTTAACACTTTCATCTTGATCAACTGGTGGTGTAAGACAAGTGAAAACATTTCCAGCTGGGTTAGTCAACAAATTAGTAAAACTAGAAGGAAGGTCACCCGATATATTAATCGGGAGGGTTGAACTCAATCCACTTGCAAAAGTAAGAAATCCTAAATGTCACTGGAATGCTACTGGAGCTAGGAACATCATTTAGTATATTACTAAAAATGTTGAGTAATATCCTTCCCTTTGGGTTGGCATCATCCAGAAAGAGATTATGCAGTATATTAGTTTAGCATGTTGAACCTTCAGTAGGTGGTGCTCCTGTGCAAGTGAATGAAAGGCAGTGGATAAAGATTCATTAGCTTCTTTCATTAGTGCTAATTCATTCTTCACTTAAATAAGTTTCTCTTTAAGTTGTTCAAAATTCCTTGTTGTTGGCCCATGAGAACTGCCAGCTTAGGCAGTGATGTCATCCACGCCCCGGTCTCCTTCAGTTGCCGTTTCTTCTTCATATGGAATGTTAAGATCAAGGAAGGTCCTTTCATCCGTAGCAATTTGCTGCCCACTTTTCTCTAAATTGGTGGACGGAATATTCATATCAAGACAGAGTCTTTTACTAAATTTTCCTCCAATGAACCTGTTCTGTTCATCCTTGGTCAGCACATACTGGTGAACAGTCAAGGGAACACATGCACCAAGTTTAAAATTCTTTTTCCTTAGTATTTCGCTGACCAACATTCCAAACCCAACGCGTCTTGACTTCCCACAAAAGTCCTTCAGTCTGTCAAAAAAAGTGTAACTCCTATCTATAGGAGTTGCACCGTAAATGGCGTACAGGATGGTAGCAGCTTTCACGCTCGATTTTTCTGTCCCTACTTAAAATGCATTTTTGGAGAACGCCCGATTTTTCTATCTCTCTAAGAGTACTTAAAATGTATTTTTGGATTACCTTAAGCTTAAGGGGCGTTTGGTTTAGGTCATCTTAAATTACCTTTATGAGCCTGGTAATGTTATATTGCCTTGTTTGGTTTATTACCTTGTTTGGTTCAAGTTATGAGATTACCTGGTAATGTTATATTATTTAAAAGCTTATGTGGCGGTAATGTTTCAAGGTAATGTGATTATCTTCATTTTCTTAGGTAATCTTATATTATCATGAATTATTTCAACTTTGCCCTTATTAACTAATCCTTATATAATAATAATAATAATAATAATAATAATAATAATAATAATAATAATAATAATAATATATTTATACAATCAAATATACATATGTGTATATTTATATATTTAAGTTTTTTTAATATTTAAATATTAATATACATTCATACATATAAATAAACAAATAAATAAATACACACACAACATATATATATATATATATATATATATATATATATATATATATATATATATATATATATATATATATATATATTGTGGACATTATAGTAAATTGATTCATATAACTTAAAATATAACTTTTAACCAAACAAGGCAATATTATATTCCACAATCCAAACCAAACACATAAGGTAATTATACATCCTCAAAATTTCACATTACCTTCCTCTACGCAATTTTATTATCTGGGGTAATCTAAGATTCCGTGAACCAAACGTCCCTTAATCATTTTGCTAATTCCAGGCCAATTTCAAATCCTTTCGAGAATAAGAATAATTTGGTGTATCATCGCTCTCATCTTCGAATTTTCAAAATAACTAGAATTTTCGAAGAACTCTAATGAAGCATTATGATAAATCCCATTGTATGGATAAGAGCATACCTTGATAAGGTGAGAGCTAATCAATTTATAGATTATATTGAGAGCTGTATGAGAATTAGAACAAGCTCTCAGATAACCTTCTGTTCTTAAAGTATAGCCATGTGTGATTTTTGTGATTTTATTATTTCCGGAAGAGGTTGCAGGGATGGGGATCTGACTGGAGCTTGCCATCTTGGAGTTGGATATTTTATTGAATTGATCAGTAGGTGTTTTCGGATGAGAGTGGTGATGGTGTTGGCTATGGCGAAAACGTGAAGGAAGAAGAATTTTAAACTTGCTGGTGCATATGTTCCCTTGATCGTCACCAGTATTGCTGACCAAGGACGATGAATATAACAGGTTCATTGGAAGAAAATTTAGTAAAAGACTTCATCTTGATATGAACATTTCGGCCACCAATTTAGGGGGAAGTGGGCAGCAAATTGGTTCAGATGAAAGGACCTTCTTTTATCTTAACATTCCAAAGAAGAAACAGAAACTGAAGGAGACCGGGGCGTGGACGACATCACTGCCTACCCTGGCAGTTCTTTTGGGCTAACAATAAGGGATTTAGTATAGCTTAGGGATGATATTATTTATGTGAAGAATGAATTAGCACTAATGAAAGGAGCTAATGAATCTCTATCCATTGCCTTTTATTCACTTGCACAGGAGCACCACAGGCTGAAGGTTCAACAAGCTAATATACTGCATGATCTCTTTTTGGGTGATGCCAACCCAGGGGGAAGGAGATTACTCAACATGTTTGGCAATATACCAAATGATGTTCCTAGCTCCAATGGCATTATTCCAGCGACATTTGGGGTTCCTACTCTGCAAGTAGACCAAGTTTGACCCTCCCGATTAACATATCCAGATCCAGTAACCTTCCTTCTATAAGGTAATAATGAACTGGTAGCACATGGAATCTTTGGAGGCTTGGACTATGGGAATAAAGCTTTGTTTTCCATATGGTAAATTTTTGTAACATGATACCCAAAATACATATATTATCTATGTATTAATGCTAATATTATGTGTATGTCTTGGCTTATTATTTAAAGACCTTGTTTTTGCCATTATTAAGAACAAAACATTTGCAACCAAATGAATGAAAATAACTAAGGTTAGATTTTCTCCCTTTCCACAATTCATAAGGTGTCTTGTCGTGCAGTTTGTGAATCAAACTTCTATTTTGGGTGTAGCAACCATTATTGATTGCTTCTGCCCAAAAACGTTTTGGTAGCTCGGCTGCGGCTATCATTACTCGTGCGACTTCTTTAAGTGTGCGATTCCTCCTTTCGGAAACTCCATTTCATTGTGGAGTTCTTGTGGCTGATAGTTGATGAAAGATCCTTTAAGATTTGCAAAAATTTTGAATCATGCTGACATCACCCTTCCTCATTCTCAAGTCGGAGTGGTCAAACAATGAGATAAGTTGCAAATTTTTATCGTTCTCTCGGGATGAAAAATTGGAATAGCAAATTGGAATAACTTGTCCTCCTTGGTGCAAGTCGGTGTACCTACGGGGTTAATAAAAATTTTAAAAATACGTGATGCTTCTTCCCACTGTGAAGGTGCTCTGCTCAAATTGCTTTGTGCCAAAATGAGAGGGTCTTCTTTCTCCATTTTGGCAGCATCCAAAATGGCACTAAGCATCACCTTGTCACCCTTTTGTTGCATTCAGACCTCCTGGATAGTAGTAGAGTCATTATTTTGTCGTGATTGTATTTCTATCACAACCTTGAGAACCTCATGAATTAAATCTACCACAGAGTTATTCGAACCCTGCACAATAACTAGTTCCTCATTCAGTTTATCCACCTCGGCTTTGTACGATCAACACTCTTATTCATAGTGTTCCTCAATATTTCAAGTGGACTCATTGGGTGTATATTCATGCTTTCTTGTTTCTTGAATTGCTTGTTGGACTCATTCTGATGAGTTTGTAGCACTTCCCCCATGGCAATTCTTTTCCTTTCAAGTTTGACCATCAACTGTACCATAAGAGCATTTAACTCCCCCTTCATCACTGGGTTTACTCTATCTATTCTACGCTCCAAACGTGAACATTTATCAACCAAATTTTGAAAATTGGTAAACATCGTGTTGTTAGTGTTGTTGACTACCTCCTTGAACTCCTTAAGGACCTTAATGATTTTATCATTCAAATTTTGAGTGGCCAAATTTGAATTCTGATTCTGCCTTAGACGCTCTTCAATGTCAACTGAAATGGGTCTAGGAGTAGATGTGTCAACCGATTGTTCACTTGAATGTCCAATTTCCAGACGTTGCACACCTAATTCGGCCACATGAAGAGTTTCATCCTTTGTGCAAAAATATTATAAGCACTCTTGCTAAGTTTTCTTCATCTATCTCATCCAAGAACTCATTGGACAAAGGATGAAACTCTTAGCTTCTTCTACATTTGGCAACTTTTCCTTACCTTTCTCGGCTAATTTCTTTTTCAATTTAGCTAAGAAAGCATGGGGTGTCATCCTGCATGGGATCAATCATGGCCCTTTTTTATTCGAGGAGTGTTTTACCACTCCTTGAAGTGATAGCTTGGGCCTCCATCTTTTTAAGTGGTTGCAAAGTGTTATTCTTGAAGGAGGCTAACTCTTCTTCAATTTCCTTTTTTATGGTGACCTTGAGATTAGACGTGTTCTCTTTGGCTTATGTATGAAATTTTGGAGTCTCATCTCAAGGTGCTCACATTTTTTATTATGGTGGTTGTTTGAATGGGTTGAGATTGATGGTTCTTTCCAATGTGGAGGATTATAGGGCTCATGGGATCTTCTTTCATCATAGTGCCATGGGGTATGTGGGAGTGGTGGGGGTTCATTTGGGTAGATATGTTGGGATGTATATGAGTATGTAGTATGAACTCTTTCAAGTTAGTATGGTGGTGGAGGTGGATAGTTATATGGGAGTAAGTGGTGGGTAATTATGTGTCAAGGGGGGGTAATGGGGGTGTTGTTCATAAGTGTGAGGTGGAAGATGTCTCAATAATTCTCCTCTATGGGTTGGATACCAATAAGGAGGTACATTCTCATTCATTGGTGAACTATTGGATACACTTCACACAATATTTCCTGCACAAAAGATTCACAAAACAAGTGTTTTGCAACTGGGAGTAGTTGCTTGTGAGCAATCAAAATATGCAAAGTATGTGTGCTCACTTCCTAAGTCAACAACAAGTATACAATATGTACAAATCAAGAACAAGTATTCAATATGTACAAAACAAGAAAAAGAACAATGAAAGCGAATGAACAACCTAGATCTCTTATCAAAACACTTCATATGAAAGCAAGTAAAAGCACTTCACTTAACACCGTTTGCCATCCCCGGCAACGGCACCATTTTGATGAGTTGTGTTTTAGTGGTGGATGGAAAAAAGGTTGGTAATGAAGATTCCCCTGTATATCGTTCTCAAAGGATGACAACTTGGAGTAAGGGGAGTGCAATGTTTTCGAGGGAAAGATACCAACAAGAGACAACTAGGTAGAAGGTACAACATTTGAAAAAATGTAAATGAGAGAATAAAAACAAGTAAAACAATAACAAGAAAAGTAAAGCGGGGAGTTGGATTGAATCACTAGATCTTATGCATGCATTAGGCTACGGTGGACTTGATGTAATGCAATCATGGCTAACTTTCGGGAGCCGTTATGCATACACTAAGCCATTATGTGCTTAGGCTCTTAGACCACACCTTAGAGTGATTAAGGCATTTCAGCAAACATCTTGCCTACGCCTCATCCCGGGCCTTGTCCTCTCGGATCGAAGAATGGGAATGCAAATATGTAAAACTCCGGGAATTGTAATCTCTTGCCAATTCCCCTCTCTCATACTCCTCACTCATCCCGGCCGGTAATGAGGAAAGCATCAACATACAACATCATTCACATCAAAAGCATTCTAAGACACAATTGCACACATATCATCTCTTACAACACTGAAGGATTAAACATGCATAATCTCTAGTTCATCTAATCTAACTCCTAGGTATTCTAGCCACAAATCATCATCATGAATTGAAAGCACAAATGTAGGAAATCAAGTCTAGCAATCAAGAAGATGTAATGGAGAAATCAATAGATGAAATTAAAGGTGAATTAGAAAGAGTTACCAAACTTGAATCCACAATTGCAATCTCAATTACACAACGTTGGAGAGGAGAGATCTTCCACAATCAAGGAGAGTTGTCAATTCCCACAACTCTAGATCATCTACCTTTAAGAATTGAAGAATTTATTGAAGCTAGTTGAATCTAGGTCTAAATTAGAGAGAGAAATATCTAATCTAAGCTAAGAAATTTGGAAAATGGGAGATAGAATGAATGATAGCGAGCCAATCCCACTACAAGCCTTATTTAAAACGCTGAAATCTGGCATGTGCACCCATCACGACCGATCCACGATCGTGACCGGGTCATTAATGCCTTCCCAGTGTCTCGGTCACGGGTCATTAATGCCTTTCCAGTGTCTCGGTCACGATCATGGGGCTTCTCGTGACAGGTTCTGATTCCCTATCACAACCGAGTCATGAACGTGACTAGGCTTTGCAGAAATTTCTCCATTTGCAGTCTTCTTTGGTTGCCCTGGTTCATGGCCATATACCATCCTTTTAGCTCAAAACCCTTCAAAACACTAAAGTGTACATCTTTATAGTGCTTTGTGACACATTGGCACATTTCAAAGCATTTTCATCATAAATCAACCTCAAAGGATTCTATTTAAGCACAACACACCCCCCAAAATGACCATTAAAAGTATGCGTCTTTAGCACTTATAATTATTATATGCTTTAAATTGTATATCTTCTCTTCATGGTCATATATAGTAACATTTGACTTTTACTTAGTCAATTTTAGCCACGAGATTTCCGGCTACTTCTTCATCTCCATCAGTAGCTCTTATATAAGCTGTTCTTCTCCTTGGCAAAAATCAATGCCTCTAGGATTCGATTATGCGACTTTAGCTCAAACAATTCCATGTTCATCTCCAATGCTCCATTTGGTCCTTTGGTTACTAAACTTGCGAATACTGCTCAAATAACCAAGATCGGAAGAGTTCTAATTTCCCAAAAATACGTAGGATTTTTGGCTTGGATTTTGACTTAGGAGATTATTTTACACAACTCAAAATAAAATAAGGGGATTTCTAAAATTACAATTTATCTCATCAAAACTATTACACAATTATTCCTAACACTACGCATCTAGCCCTCTACTGACCAGGTAATGAGGTAAACAACTAAACACATTTACTAAAGAAATTTTATTTTTTAGTAAGTTATATTTTCTTTGATCTTTATGTATTTTAGTAACTAATAATTAGTTGTTATTACTTATTTATTATTGTTGTGAATATGATTAATTGGTTTTCTGAACCTTGCTGGATGGCATTATTGATTTATTGTTTATTTGTTGTTGTTGACTTGTGTTAGAGTGTTATTGCGAATAGGCCCTATTGCCTACGCTTCCTTACTGTGATATTGTCTAAGTTTATGCTAGTATCATGTTTTTAATTAAAATTTGAATTTTTTGGCAAAATAGCATCTTCTAGCTAGTGTGAACTATAGTGGTAGTGCAACTAGTATTAATGTCGAATTTGAT